AATTCAGTCTTCGGCTGCACGTCATTCAGGACAACTGAATGACTGTGAAGATCATCTGGATATCTATGTTGTTACTTGAGTGCTCACGTATGCCGAGAGCAGCTATGCCACACGCTTTTAATCCAGAGCTGCACACTTTCAGACAACAGCACCCTCTGTTCGGTATGTACACCACCACCTCGGGGATCCCCCGGAGTAATCTTTTACTCTCTTGCGAGTGCCACTTTCGCCGGTTTCCGGCAAGCCGAGCAACACGCTCTGTCTTGCACATCATTCATCTGGCTAACATTGGATGTACACAGTGTGACTGCATATACAGTTACGAAGCACTTAAATCTTTCTTCGCTTCACTATCCCCTTAGTCAGGGCCAGTGTTCCGTCTGCAGCCTTCCAGTGGAATACCAGCATTTCGCAACATCCTGTTTTCAGTCTGTTAATTTTCGGGCCCAATTCCTTACTACATGCGCCAAAACTCTGCGCTTTATTCATTTCGAAGGCATCGCTCAGAATAAGCGCCAAATCGTCCGTAAATCATAAGTGGTTTAGCTTCTCGTCAGAAGTGTGCTGATTACCCTCTAATCCAACTCAAAAAATGCCAACTCAAGGCACGCCACCAAAAAACTTGAGTAATATGAGAATTTTGCCTCAAACTCCTCTATAAAAATTGAAGTGAAAGATGTTAGATCTTTCGAGCCACCAGTATCAACTTAATAATTTCCACACAGATTCGATCAAATCCTTTTTCTACAAGAGTCCGTAATACAGCATCTAACATATTCGAATGTTTATTTCGAGTTTGCAAACAAGGACTGCATCACAGAATGAATTTTCTGCGCTCCACATTTTTGAATTTCAAACTATCCCGACGACTGACATATAAACTATCGCGTTACAAAACAGCACTGTTGTTGAAAAAAAAAAAGCGGGACTGGCCGTGAGGAGTCTCATCTGGGCGGGGTTCGCCGGCATGACAAAAGGCGCGCCCAACAAATAGCTGTGGCCAGGAAATACTCTCCTGAAAATCCAACTTTCTATCTTATTTGATTCTGAGACTGGAAAAATTTCCGTCGAAACGTTCACGTACTTGTGCGTGGAAATTAGACGTATGTAGGAACTAAATCTAAAATTTCAGTTTTCTAATTTTTCTAGTTTCCGAGTTAGAGATTTTCGCGCGAAAGCTTTCACTCGTCCATACGTGAGACCTGGGAGCGTGTGGAAGCTGAATTATATTTTTTGAGGTTGCACATGGACACAGAATATTCTCCTAATAATTCATTTGCCTAGATTTTCTGGTTCGTAAATTGAAAACTTCAGATAAAACGTACCTGAAATACATACATATGTACACACGCATACACACGCACACAGTCAAACAGACTTACACATATATACACACATACACACGCACACACGTACGCACACACACGCACACACACACACACACACACACATACAAACACACACAAACAAACACGCACATACACACAGACAGAGTTGCAACAATACGCGTTTTGTATGACTGTTGCAATACAAAATGTATTAAAAACAAAACAATTTCATTCAGCATTTCTTATGCTGCCCAGAAAACTGTGATAATTGGCCAAATGAAGAATGATTTTGATGAAACTTTCACGAGATATTGCATTTTTAAAAACTTACGTAGTTAAAGAGGCGCCGCGGGCCATCACCTTTATCAAATCGACGACGTATCGGTGGGAATTGAAGAGCATGCGCAAAGAACATAGAAGCTCCAGCACGACCACTCTCATAACTGTACTCCAACAGCCACAGTGCATAACTGTAAACACAAATCGAAAATTGCAGGGAAATGAGCCCGAAAAAACAGCATTTACACTACAAAGATGGCTCGGCCAAATGCTATGAGGAACCAATATTGTTAGTGCTATTTGGGAACAGTTAAGCCAGGCACTACGCAGCGAAGCCAGAATTTTATCGTGAACAGCATGCCTCCAATCAGGAATCAGAACGGTGCTAACCCATCCAATGCGCTATCACTCCGGAGACTACCCGAGCGATCGTTACTTGTTCACAAATACTACTGACTGATATGCGACCGGATGCCGGCAAAGCGAATAAGATTGTCACAGAATTTCACTTCCTCATCGCAATAGTATCCCATAAGCCAATCGGACTGCCAGAGTGCTTAACAGACACTTCAAACACTCTTCGCACAACTGATTTGTGCACAGCCAGCGTTTGCTTATCGGTTTCCATCAGTAATCACCAATTCGAAGTCTTTAACGCTGGCATAAAGAAGCAGATATGGTCTCGTTGCCGGTTGCCGAACCGGCACTAACTGACAGACTTCGTCGTGCATCAATTCACCTTCTAGAGATTGTGCATACAGACAGACAGATTTCACGTCGAGGTTGGCTGCCTGCACTGTGACCTCAGACCTGTCGACAAGGCTCATACATTTCGTTTTCACCATGTTCACCTCCAAAACCACTTCGTTATTACATACACTGAGCTACTGCAGTATCCTCATTTCTTTTTTGCCAGCCTTTTTCGCGAGAACTATACCAATCTTGATCTGTTCCTCTCACTCGACAAATGAACCTGCGCAGAAAAAAGGGAGCATAACGACCACATAACCCGGTAGTCGCTTCTCCAACTAAATCGACAAAGTTCCTGTCAATGCCTTCGTCCAAACACAACATTCTGCTCAACACTACCAAATACTTCTCACTCACCAAAAAAGAGATGGAACAATTGTTACTCGCCAAATGCCTTCCAGCATTTGGTCTGGGGACTGTGCTGTAACTACACTGCAATTCAGCTTACTTCCTCGCCGCCAACTGTTTATGGCAGGGGTACCAGTAGATAACAAGGACGAAGCCTTGAAGTGTGTTCTAAATATTTCCAAGACGTCTGCCTGATTTATAGTTCACGACAGTGCCATTTCTAAGCATATTTCTAAGCATCAATAAAATGAGCAGCAATTTACTCGCGAACTTGTTCAAACTTTGCTCCCTGTGAACCAACAACACCTTCATCCCACGGATAAAACGCTCGAAATCCTCCCTGGGCTTTCGCCTATAACACATATGGAGGACAGCGTACTTCACGTTTCGAACTTTGTTTCTTCTTTTGCAGCTACTTGGCAACTGCAAAGTTTCTCAAACGCAACTACAGTTGGATGTGCGCAGCTTGTTCACACACTGACGCACTTCGACCAATCTTTCTTCCATGGTTCAGTCGTCCTCTCTGGCCAGCTGATTCATCTCTTCCTCACCACTAACTGACATAGTCTTCCTTCTCAGAAACTAGCGCTGAGGTGATTTGGATCCAACAACCACTGGCGACGCGCAACAAGCGGGCCCTTGTGATAATGCGTTATTTCGTGCTGTGATAAGATCGCTTGGAATCTTAGAAGCTAGAATTTGTAACATACCGGTCCTCGAAGTTCAGGAAATTAATTGTGGAACTATGTTATATTTGAAGAGGAAACATTCCGTTAGAATTTCAGCTTTCCAGCTTTTCTGGTTCCCGAGTTAGGAATTTTCTAGCCCCCCCCCCCAAAAAAAA